TATTGACATTGGATGGATGGGGCTAGCCCCGAAACTAGTTAGACTTCAAATTTATTAAATATAGCAAGTTAAGAAGTTTTTTCGTTTTATTTTTGTATAAATGTTTTGCCAAGATCGACCGAAGGGTTTAAAATCTTTTTTTTTTAATCTTTTTTTACCTACTGGCTCCTCCTATCATAAATAATATAATTTTATAATATATAATATTTATACCTGCTTATAATAATATCACATCTTTTCAATGAAGAAAATATGAAATACAAAATCATTTCATTTAACTCATTTATTAATATTTTAAGTCTTAATACAGATATTAAATTGAGCTTCCAGGTGTATTGGTACATATTTGACTTATTCGACACTGGTGTGAGTCTACAATCTTTTTAAAGTTGAGAATGTAATTACTTAGGGCATTTCTCAAATAAGATTCTAAATGATTATCTGTCTATGTTGAACCACAACATGAGTACAAATTCTCAACACATTTTCGAAAATTTGTATACTTGTCTTCCGATAAATATTTTCAAAAATTTTCTTCAGATGCCCTTGTTTTAACATAAATATCGTTTTGCAGTGTTATGATTTTCGATTCTAACTTATGTACATCCATTTCGAACAAGTTAAACAGTTTCACTTTTTCTATATTTATATTTTTATCAAACGGAAAAGTGATAAAAATTCCACATCAATTTTTTTAAAATCTTGAAGACGATTGTCAAACTAAATTTTTAATTTCATTTTTATACCGATTTAAATCGATATCAGCAATATTTTTTAATTGAGACATCATATTGGGAAATGAAGTGAAATTATTATCATTCGTTCTAGATAAAATTATGTTTAGTTTTTGTTTAAAAGCATTTACAGAACTCATCATGTCAAAAATTGTTTTATTCTGTCCTTGAAGTTCTAAATTCATATCATTCAGCTTACTTGTAATATCTGTCAGAAAAGACAAATCTAAAAACCAAATATCATCTTGTAATAAGACATTGTTTAATTTCGTCAATTAAATCACGAAAACGCTGTAAGAACTGCCTCTATTTAACCACCTGACCTCAGTATGCATCACAAGTTCAGTACATCCTTCGTGGTCGCTTTCTTCTACGTATAATTTAAAAAGCCTACTTTGTAAACTTTTTGCCCAGATAGAATTGCTGATTTTAAAAGCTATGGTCATGATTTCTTGCATATTGAGAATTTTAGAGCATAGCGTTAATATCTTTATTAGCATAAAACTGAAATATCTATTATCAGATTATCAGATCGACGTTATGCACACCACTGCCGTATGCGAATGCTTCCATAGCCAGCTCGTTCTCCGGATTTGAATCCGATCGAACATGTTTGGTCCGAGACTTCAACGTTATCCGGCTCCCCCGGTTGATGTTGAGTAGCTATGGAGGAGAGTTGATGCGGCATGGTTGGGCAACCCTACCGATTTATCGGTAGATCTACCGATATACGACTTAATCTACCGATTTTCAAAATATTAACAAAGTATTATGAAACACATCATACTTAAAATCAATACAATTGCGACAAAAATGATACTTTATGGGAATACAATACTCATATTGTATAAAAGTATATACCAACGATATGGCAATGTCGCTCGAGCAACGTTGCCAGATCGTTGGTATATACAGTACGCGTCATAAGTAATTTGAAAAAGGTTCAAAATATAATATTGTCAAAATAGATATTGACGCATCCAAAAGCAATATTGTTAACAATAAAATTTGCTACAACTTTTATTGTAAAAGTTTCTTTGTAACACGCTGCGATTCTCAAGTGTTATCTTTAATAACTTGAAAAAGTAACAAATTCATAAAATTTTCATATTTTCGTATCTATCTCGATATTGACGTATCTAAAAGCAAAACTGCAAGAGAGCAATATTATTAACAATAAAATTTGCAATAATTTTTGTTATAAAAGTTTTCTTATAGCAAGCTCCGGTTCTCAGGTGTTACCTTTAATAACTTGAAAGAGCAACAAATTCATAAAATTTTCATATTTTCGTATCTATCTCGATATTGACGTATCTAAGAGCAAAACTGCAAGAGAGCAATATTGTTAACAATAAAATTTGCAACAATTTTTGTTATAAAAGTTTTCTTATAGCAAGCTCCGGTTCTCAGGTGTCATCTTAGAGCAACAAATTCATAAAATTTTCATATTTTCGTATCTATCTCGATATTGACGTATCTAAGAGCAAAAGTGCAAGAGAGCAATATTGTTAACAATAAAATTTGCTACAACTTTTGTTATAAAAGTTTTTTTATAACATACTCCGATTCCCAAACGTTACCTTGAATATCTTGAAAAATAAACAAATTCGTAAAATTTTCATATTTTTGTATTTATCTCGATATTGACGTATCTAAGAGCAAAAGTGCAAGAGAGCAATATTGTTAACAATAAAATTTTCTACAACTTTTGTTATAAAAATTTTCTTATGACATGCTCCGATTCCCAACTGTTACCTTTAATAACTTGAAAGAGCAACAAATTCATAAAATTTCATATTTTCGTATCTATCTCGATATTGACGTATCTAAGAGCAAAAGTGCAAGAGAGCAATATTGTTAACAATAAAATTTGCAACAATTTTTGTTATAAAAGATTTCTTATAGCATGCTCCGATTCCCAAGTGTTACCTTTAATAACTTGAAAGCAACAAATTCATACAATTTTCATATCTATCTCGATATTGACGTATCTAACAGCAAAAGTGCAAGAGAGCAATATCGTTAACAATAAAATTTGCAACAATTTTTGTTATAATATTATATATTTATTTCTTGTTTTTGGTCACTAGTCTCTTCTTCTCGCTCCGCCAAGATGGTCACATCTAATCTTTAATACCTCATTTGCTGTAATTGTTCAAGAAATTTTATATTTAACCATCATTTTCGATTAGTAAGTTAATTTTATGTTTGTTGGATTGATCCTAATCTAATTTATGTTGCTTTCACGCTTTTCAATGTCTCCTCCATTTTGAATTTTAACGACGCATATTTTATATTCTGGCTGTTATTTGATGATTTAAAATATTTCAAAAACTTTCAACATTTCAAGTGGTTATACCTGTTGGCTTCACTTTCTGACAGTGAGTATTTTATATTTTATTACGTAGTTTAATTACAGTATTTTTGTATAGTTTTCGGCTGAAGATGAAGTTATAAACTTCGAAACCGGTTCCGATATAAATTAAATAATCTCTGCAAGTGTAAGGTTCATAAACTGTGTTTTATTTTCATATTCAAATTTCATTTTACTTGCAACATGGATAATTCTCATATCATTTGTTATAAAAGTTTTCTTTAATAACTTGAAAGAGCAACAAATTCATAAAATTTTCATATTTTCGTATCTATCTCGATATTGACGTATCTAAGAGCAAAAGTGCAAGAGAGCAATATTGTTAACAATAAAATTTGCAACAATTTTTGTTATAGAAGTTTTCTTATAGCATACTCCGATTCCCAAGCATTACCTTTAATACCTTGAAAGAGCAACAAATTCATAAAATTTTCATATTTTCGTATCTATCTCGATATTGACGTATCTAAGAGCAAAAGTGCAAGAGAGCAATGTTGTTAAGAATAAAATTTGCTACAATTTTTGTTATAAAAGTTTTCTTATAGCATGCTCCGATTCCCAAGTGTTACCTTTAATAACTTGAAAGAGCACCAAATTCATACAATTTTCATATTTTCGTACCTATCTCGATATTGACGCATGTAAAGGCAAAAGTGCAAGAGAGCAATATTGTTAAGAATTAAATTTGCTACAACTTTTGATATAAAAGTTTTTTTATAACATGCTCCGATTCCCAAACGTTACCTTTAATATCTTGAAAAATAAACAAATTTTCATATTTTTGTATTTTTCTCGATATTGACGCATCTAAGAGCAAAAGTGCAAGAGAGTAATATTGTTAAGAATAAAATTTGCTACAACGTTTATTGTAAAAGTTTTTCGTAACATCCTCCGATTCCAAAGTGCTACCATTAACAACTTGCCAATAGGTTCGATTCCGAAAAACAATAATTTTTATCAAACATTCAACAAGTACATACACTAGTAAGGTGTACGCGATTTTTTAAAAATACAACCTCTCGCGTGTAACTCATAGTTTATATACAGGATATATTATTCTGTAGCGATTTTTCTAATAAAAATTTTTCGAAATGTTCTGATGCGGAAGATTTTTACTAAACAACATTTTCTGACTTTGTATTTAAACCTACCGATTTTTTATCATTGATTCTAGCGACATTAGACGCGCGCGTTTAGATTATACAGGGTGTGCTCATGAATTATTTCCAACAGTGTATTTAGTTTGGGTGATTTTTGAATAATTTAGTTAGATCCAACCCTGTCTCAATCAAATAGAGGATGATTCAATGCTTATAAAGGTTAGAATTATTTTTGAATCACCCTGTAGGACACTCAAAACACGATCAATCGGATTTCTCTACTGTTTAAGTCTATTTAAAAGAAAAGAAAACACAAAAAAATATCCTGAAAGACATCGATTTCTTGGAACCAATAATAATTATAAAATAGAGATGATAATAATAATACGTTTGGAGATTTATACTTTACCGTTAAATTACTTTACTCATTTTCTTTTTTTAATTTTTTAATATAATATTTCTTTGCTGACAATCTAAGAAAACCATCTTGTTCTCTTTTCTTCTCACAAAGATTCATATATCCTTAAAAACTGGAAAACTTAATCTTCTCGTTTCCCTCTATAAATAACAAAATCTTGTCCATCAAGAAACAAAAAAAAATTTTATATATATAATGCATGTATTATATATATGGATAATCTGGATTCTATTTTTGATGACGTCATCATCGCCGAATTGGCAGCTTCAGTAGTTGACGGCCAATTTAAATTTTTAAAGGGGATGAAAGGTGTCCTGTCCGAATTATTTAAAGGGAAGACGGTGGTGGAAATGTTTTTAAAGATGAAAACCAACCTATGATCGGTAGCGGTACTCTCGTCCGTCTTGCCATCCCGGTTGTTGTTGTTGTTACGGTTGCTATTTTCCGTCGAATCCTCAGCCGTCTTGGGTGCTTCCTTTGAAGTAATCTTCTCATCTACGGTAACAAATCGATGTAAATCAGTTGTAATAGTTCACTCTCAGTTTGCAGGCCCCGATACTCTGATCAAAATTCACTTGCTCAACAGTATATGTATATATATACATACATATATATATGGACATATATCATGATGTGCGATTAACAAAGAAAAAAATGTATGTAGCATAAAGGCAAAAAACGATAAAAAAAAATTATAGTAAGAAAAAAATCAAAAGAAAAGTTTTTTTTTAATTATTTTGTGGTTATCACTTCACCTCCTTTTTTTCTGTTGTTGTGCAAATGTCGTCACTTGTAAGTAAAACTGGTTAAAAACACGCGTTTAATGGATATTCGATTCGTTAAAAACTGATTACAGAAAAAATAAAAACGAATTGCAATAATATTTCGTTTTGTTTTCTTCTCTAAATGTCTTCTTTGCGTCTTCTTCTTCTTCTTGACAAAAAAAATCTCTTCAGCTTCCGTTTTCACTTTGTTCCATTCTTCTTTCCGTCATATTAAAGCAATTCATTTAAATTTCTGTTTAATCAAAATCAACGTCGACATCTGTTATTCATTTAAACGTATTCGCGAAATTTTCCAGACACAGACAAAAATACACCAATAAAAAATAAATTTACTGACTTACCTTCTTTTTTGTCACCATCATTTTTTGTCGGCTCTGTATCTTGGGGGTCTCCCTAAATAAATAACACATTAAAATTATTTTTTGATTAATATTATTTTATCTTACATCGTTATCATGTAAACCATCATCTTCTTCCAAAGTCAATTGTATGGGACTTTCGCTTTTGAGGTCTTTATCTTCGGAAGCATCTTCGCATTTTTTCACCTCTTCTTTCGATTTTTCTTGATCCGCTTTCTCATCCGTTCCGTTTTTGGAGGTGTCACTTTTTTTTGATGATTCCATGTCGGTGCTTTTATTTTCTTCTTTCGATGTTACTTCCTACAAAGTACATAATAAAGTTTCAAGTAAATATAATCACGTATGATTACCTTATCTGGTTCATTCTCAATCTTTGATTTATTCGCGTCGTCGTGTGGTTCTTCTTCAATTTCATTATCTTCTATAAAAAAAATAATCATAAAATTAAAACAATAAGAATGTGGGTTGTAATTTTAATATACAGGTTGAGTTAAAGTGTTATTACTTAAACAGGAAAAAATATATTGTTATTAATGCAATTCTCAATTAATTTTATTTAAAATAATAGACGATTTTATACCGTGTAATAATTTTTTATTAAAAAGATTTTTTTACAACAAAAAGATACATTTCTGATATTTTGGCATTATTGCAACCCCTTTTCAGAAAAAACTTGAACGGAATTGTTTCCAGAAGGATTTCCAGTCACTTTTTATACACAAAAACCCGTTTGAGAAAAGTAGACGTTTTCTGAATTTCTTATACAGTTTATAATCTATGACAATGCAAGAATATTCATTAAAAGACCTCGGCGGTTTGAGGGTAAACGTCTTTTTCTAAGAGACTTTGTATCTAATCTATTTTTCTAAGATATGTGAGGAACGATATCGCCTCAAATCGCCAAGGTCAATTGCGGGCGAGGCGCTGGGTTTGATACCAATACGAAATCGTTAACTTTCGAAGATTGTAATGCCTCGCCGGTTTGAGGGTAAATGTCCTCTACTAAAAGACTTTGTGTCTTTACTAAGAAATACAGGCTGTCCCGAAACTCAACGTCAAGCGGGTACCGGACGAAAGGCTAACCCATACCTGTTCTGGTAAAAATAAGAAAAAAATCCCTATTAACCATGCTACTATAGAAAAAGTCGTTAGAAAAAATATTAGTTTGATCCAATTAAGATTAAAACAATTTATGTCTATTAAGTTTGATACACGATTTCTAAAAAAAAATGGCTGTACAGCACCCTTGGCAAATAATTTTAAAAGATGGCCTGTCTAGTCATGTTTCCAAAATGGTTGCCAATTTTCTTTTCATAAAAAATTATTACCTGTTTTTCTGCAGAAAACACGTTATTTAAAAAATTCATATTTCAAAATTCATATTGTTGTGGGGAAAAGGGTACGTTGTAAAGAGTATGGGATTAATTAATAATTTTGACTAAAGATGAAGAATTTTTAGTAATTACACAAAACAATTTATATGTAATAAAAAAAATATATAGGCAGATTGAAAATAAATGGTTTAATCAAATATGTCTTATTCTTATAGTTTATTTATGTCAAAATAAAAAATAAATAGTTGTATATTCAATAGAGTTAAAGAACTTTTTCAGTTCATCGTATGTTTGATTCTCTGCCTACATGCAACTTCGTTCATCTTTAGTTATACATTTTTACACTTTGTACTTTCTTGTATCTATAAGTTTTTAATTTAAGTGAATTAGAATCAGACCAGAATAAGAAGTGAATAAGATAGTGGAGATGAATTTTGAAAATAGTTCCTCATTTTCTGTGGATTAAATAAAAAATCTACAATACTCTAAGTATACTGTGTCATCTAGAACGTGCAATTAGTGCAGTGGATAAACAGGAAGAAGATGGCCTGTCTAGTCATGTTTCCAAAATGGTTGCCAATTTTCTTTTCATAAAAAATATTATTACCTGTTTTTCTGCAGAAAACACATTATTTAAAAAATTCATATTTCTCCTTAACTTTGTTAGAAGATGTGCCCATCAATACAATAATCTACAAAATTTGGTTTCAACAAAATGTCTTGCAAAATGCCTGTTTCGAATAAGCTTAACCTAAAGACAAAATTAAACAAAAGTAATTATTAATTTATTTATTATTAGTTTTATTGCATTATTTTCTTAAAACTAAAGCAAATGCTCAAATTGTTTGCCGTCGGCACTAATACAAGTTCTGCATCGTCGCAGAAAAAATCAGATTTTACTAGTTGTGCAAATCTCTCTGCATTTATTTCTTCTGCTGCTGTATAAATATTGTGGGGTAGTTCAGCAAGATTTTCAATCGGTTTTTAATACACTGTTTCTTTTAAGCAATCCTAATAAAAAATCAAGGGGATTTAGGCCCACAGAATGAAGAGGCCACGTAATTGAACCAAGACGCCTAATCCATCTTTTGGGACGTTCTGTATTTAATCCCGTACAAGACAAGCATAATGAGCTGGGCAACCATCTTGTTCAATAGAAGAAATTTGTAGGGTATTATATGTCTAATAAAACAGTCCAACTGTTTTTTTTATTTAAGCAATAATTTTTGAGTTATGACATGAACTTGTAATTTTTCTAATGAAATACCACTTGACATAGATATTTTTATTAATCTAATATTAATATTATTAATAATTAATATTAATAGGTATACAGGTGTCCCGCAACGATTGTACAATACTGCATCAAACCTAATAAACACAGGTCCGAAAATGGACCAGTTTCGAGATATTCAAGATTTAGTTTCATAAGTTAACATCATGAATTTTAATTTGTTTTTATAATAATTAAGTGGTTACTATGATTACGAAGAAGAATTTCTGCACAAGAAAACAACCGTTCACCGCATTTTAAGGGAGCAGTTGCTTTATCCTTATCATTACAACACCGTTCAAGCTCTAAAAAAAAATGATGGCGAAAAAAGAGATTTTTTGTAGGTGGGCCATACAGGAAGAGGTAGTAAACGTCGACTTTCCCATAAACATTGTATTTAGGGATGAAGCAACATTTACTCAAAGCGGTATTTTTAATATTCATAATGCGCACGTTTGGAGTGATGAAAATCCCCATGCAATACTAGAAATTCATCATCAGTGGCGATTTAGTGTTAATGTATGGACTGGAGTTATAGATGATCAGTTATTAGGTTTCTTCCAAAGAGATTGACAGCCGATGCTTATATACATTTTTTACAAAATGAGCTTACAGAGGTATTTGATGAATTACCTCAACAAATTCTAGAAGATTGCTACTTTATGCATGATGGAGCACCAGCACATTATGCACGCGCTATGCGAGCATACTTAAATAACAGATTTGGTAATAAATGGATTGGCCGTGGCCACCTCGTTTACCAGATTTAAATTCGTTAGATTTTTGGCTTTGGGGAGATTTAAAACAAATAGTTTATTCTAAAGACGTCCAAAATGTGCAGGATTTGAAAAATAAAATCAGTAATGCATTTGACGCAGTAAAACAAATTCCCGGTATCTTTGAACGCATTTGAAGTTCATTTAAAAACCGTATCCATTTGTGTTTAGAAGTAAATGGTGCGCATATTGAATATTTATTATGACATGATTCTCCTCCAATTTGTTAAATATTCGTTGTTTTTATGATGGTTGAAAGATTTTCTTCCACAATCTTTGTTACTTGTTTTGTTAAATTATTAATGAACTGTATTAATTAACTTATTATTTATTAAACTTTATCTTAACCATCGTAACCATGGTAATCATATAATTACTGCATCTAAGTCGTTACAATTAATGATGTAAACAATAGGTCAACTTATGAAACCTAAATATGGACCTATATTTATTAGACTTTTTTTTTGTCTATTTTCGATCAGAGAATACGCTGGTGAAGTATTGTACAATCGTTGCGGGACAGCCTGTATAAGGAACGATTTCGTCTCAAATCGCCGAGGTCGCCTGCGGGCGAGGCGCTGGGTTTGATACCAACACAAAATCATCAGCTTTGCAGGATTCTGGTCGTTCATTCTCGACTTTGTATGTGTATTACCACATTCACTATACTAGGCTCTTCTCAAATCTGCTCCTAAGTTCGAAAATATTAAGGTGGGAAACCACATTGGAAGGTTCAAAAAATTTTTTCATTGCATAAATCGTTAGCTTAACTATCCAAGAATACGATGTCAAAATTACAAACCGAAATTCGCATTCGTTTAGATTTTATGAGCATGGAACCGAGCGATCTGCCGTAGCCTGTACCCGGCTACAGCATGGGTGTCATTATCGCGGGCCGCATGCGGTACGCCCTGGTTACTATGGATGGAAACACATTTTTGTTTATTGTGTTTGGCGTCAGTTTTGATTTAGCTTCTACGAGTACGTTTGCAATTGAAAGTGAGAATGTCTTCGTATCTGAAAGGTGCGAACTGCGTAAACGAAGGTTCCATGGTGCGTGTGGCAGAAACGAACAGCTCTTGGAATGGAGCTTGCACCGCATCCTACTCCATTGCATCCCGACATACAGCAGGAAATTCTGCATATATATGAAGATTTGTCAAGGGATGAATTACTGGAAAGATGTTTAGGTGGCCACACGCAAAACGCAAATGAAAGCTTTAATTCCACAATTTGGCAATTAATTCCTAAACATTTGCACTCTGGTCTTAAAGTCATTGAATTGGCATCGTACTTAGCCGCGGTTTCATTGAAGGAAATTCATCTCTTCTGATGATCATGAACGAAGCAGGAATTGTAGTAGGCACGCAAAGGTTCAGTTACGCCGAACAAATAGTTCTAGACAGAATCGACGTAGTTCATTGAAGTCGAAGGAAGGTCAGCAAGCCCGAAAAGCACTGCTGCAGGCGCAAAATGAAGCCTATAAGGAAGAAGAAGGACTAATATACGGTGCTGAAATCGCGGATTAATCGGTGACTACTTTACAGTACAGCTCAAAAGTGTATGATAATTTGGTTTTTCCCACATAACTTTTTTGAAACTTTATGAAAGCAGACCATTTTTTGTACTATAGTTTTTGCAATGTATTTCACATGACATAGACTTGTGTAGAAGAATCCGTTTCAACTTTGAGTTATTAAAAAATAATTTTTATTAAAATACGAAAATACGCTATAAAGCGATGTCAACAAAAATAAATCATAACTCAAGAAATATCAACATAACAATCGTGAACGGCGATCAGCCATGTAGAGCAACCTAGTACTTGATTGGGTAACTCATCCTATTGATCACAGCCTGACATTTGGGCATGGAATCGATCAATGCACCCATTTCGCCTGCAGCGGATGGAGCTTTTCGTCGGCGTAAGTGGCCCGAATGCCCGTCAACTTGTGCCAAAGAGTGTCCCACAGTGGTTCGAAGATGTTGTGATCCGGGCTCTGGCTGCACCAGTCCATTACCGCCACTCGACGCTGCG